AGAGCCGCCTAGTTGAGAGGAGGATCGATTTGACCCCAAGACCAACCCTGTAGTAGCCTCTCCCCCCCGCGCACGCTTTCACCGTGTCGTCGTCATTGTTTCCGCCACCGCCGTCGCGCCTGCCTCTACTACTCTAGGGCGACGCCATGACCGCACCTGCTGCCGCTGCCGCTGCCGCTGCCGCTGCCACTACCAGTGCTACTCCCAAACATCCATCCCCCGGTGAGGCTACAAGCGCTGCCACAGGCACTATTAGCAGTGGGGCTCCTTCATCGGTGGCTCGGAATGACGCCAGCACGGGCGCTACTTCCCCTGAGGCTGCGACCGGGCTCGGCGCTGCTGTCGCGTCGTTAAACTCGGGTGCGCGAGGGAATAGCGTCAGCCTCAACGCCAAAGCTGCCGGGAGAAGCCGCAGCACCAACGACAACGATAACGACAACAGCATTAGCAGCATTAGCAGCAGCAGCATCAGCAAGGACAACTCCACTGCCGCTTCTACTGGGGCACGCAGTGAGGGCTCCACGGGCGGGGAGATAGCGGGGAGAGGGGACGTTCCTTCGGAGATTCCGGGTACGACGAGCTGCAAGCACGGCGGAGAGCAACGGCAGGTATGTATGTAGAAAAAATGTGACATTTAGAAGCACACGCCGGTGCCGTTTGAGTCAATGGTTCTGTGAGCGCGCAATGCAATCGTTTGCGAATGAACCATAAACCATTGGCTGCACCGAACCCATTTACACCGCAAAATTGGGGCGGCAAGCGAGAAAACATTTCGCTGGAGAGAAGCGGTATATCCAAGCGGGAAGATTGTTTTGGAGGGTGCGTGCGGGTCAGAGGGGGGCGAACGGTTGAAACAATCGCTCCTCATTTCGAAGTTCGCCTAACGAAAGCTCTCGCGGCGCCACACACATCTGTGGTTCTTGTTGAATTCTTGTATTTTCTTCACGTCGTCCGCACTTGTAACAAAGAGTGCCATACACCTTGTCACCCCCGACTTGAGTCACTGCACACGCTGGCTGACACAAACACTCGTTCTTAAAGGAAAGGTTCAGGTTGCCTCTGAAGCGAAAGTGTGGTATGTTCAATGCACACATGCTTGACGAAAATGAACTCT